CGTATGTGCAGTACGCTGAAAAGGCTTGCCACACACTGCCTTTCCCCATCCCCAGTAAAAGCTTTTTCTTAAAACATGCAGAGAGCTACGCCTTAGGCTCTGGAAAATTGCGGAGCCGTTAAAAAGTCATTCCTCTGTGTTTCCCCACACATCCACATCCACTCCCTTTCGGGTTTGTATTAATCAAGAGCAGAAAAGTGTGTCACACAGTTTAGAAGCTACTGTATTTAGAAGAGAAACCAGCACAGAATGCCACATAAGATCTATTTTAGAATATTGAACCTGCAAACATATGTGTTTTGTAAAATAATTAGGAAAAAGCAGTACAAAATTACATTATAATTTATCCAACCGAGACCAATGTGTATTCTAAAAGCTGTTTATTTTAGAAATGCTTTGGTGGTTCTGTTAGAGAGGAGAGTATAGCTTATGTCATCAGTTTTTCCACGTGTGTGCATGGGGCAGTGTAGCTACTATGGAAAGAAAAAACAGGTTGTATTTTTGATTCCTGAAGAGCAAGGAACAAAAATCCTCCATTTTAAAATAAGAGGCGTAATATGCCTTTTGGCTTCTAGAAAAACGGTTCTAAGAGTGTGGTCAGCTGTTTGGCATTGGAAGTAAGATTTCTGAACATCCACTTTCTCTTTTTGAAACCACAGCTCAGCGATGACTGTGAAAATTAGGATGTGGGGCTCCCCCTCCCCATTTTTTGCCTTTGGTTATTTTGTCCTGGCTTATGGCAAAGAAGTGTGGACAGAAACTAGCGCTCATGTGGCAAGGACTCTCGCCCATGGGCGCAGATTTAAAGGCAAACATGGAACTTCTCAGTAGAGTGCTTGTTGCTTAATTGGTATGCATGTGGTGCAGAAATCAGAAAATGTTACCTTTTTTTGTTTTTCTCCCCCCTCCCCTCATTTTGGGCTGGTAACTCTGTCTCTTCTCTCTGACAGTTTAGGGTATCCCCTGCCCCCTTCTTCTATGCTCCAGAAAGTAATTCTTATTTTTAATTCCAGGAAAGTTGGAGTTATGTTAAAGGTTCCAAGTTCAACTGTGGTTTTAAATAGAACTGACAGTTGGAAAAGTTTCCTTAATTGTAGAGATCTGAGTAGCTTCTACTTTCTGTTTGCAGTAGCAGTGTATTGGCACAAGTTTCCTGAATCTTTCAAAGCCCAGCCTCACGCGTTTATTTATCTTGTCACCTCTATCTTCTTGTATATTTTGCGGAGAGAGGGGAGCAGGAAGTGATTGTATTGCTAATCATCTTCCATTTTTTTCTTGGTAGCTCTTAAGAAAAAATGATTTCAACTTTGTGCGTAGGTAAAAGTAAATCTCTCTATAGAACCTTTCAAATGTAGCTATCAAATTGAATGAGAATGTCTTCTGAATCAGAGAAGTAATAGAGATAATCCGAACTCCGTCTTCTAGACCTGCGAGTTGACTTGGTGGGCAGTATTGTAGCCTGTAAGGAGAATGTATTCGTTATGGATGATGCCTTTTGAAGATGGAAGGATGTTCACTCTTTTGCTTCATTCAGCTCAGGAGAGGAGTATTGTGATGCTTGATACTTGGAGTTGAGCATTAAATTTGGAAATATGTTTCCATGTTAATTGAGTGAGAAGTGGAATGAATTATCTAGTTTCCAGAGGCCTTTGTGACAGCACGTCTTCCATCTGTTATTAAATAGCTTTATACTTGTAATTGTTTTTAAATAGTTTTGGCAGGGTGCTTATATTCTTGTGCAAGGACAAAAAGTACTTCTGCTTCTAAAATATGTTCTGGTCCCGAGCAACTCCTTGTGAGGCCTATTGCTTTTTTAGCATCTAAAAAGACTGGTGATAAGGCTTTGAAAGGTTAGCTGTCTAAATTTTCTTCCTTCTTTCTTCAAATTTGGTTGTTTTTTTTACATTTGTTTGTTAAACTACAGTAAAAATAGTGATTTCGTTCTTACTGAGTATTTGGGATAGAATGGCATTGTTGTAGGATGATGAAAATTGCTTTTGGTTTTGAGATTGGAAGAGGGGTTTGCTGATCAAATAGAGAATGGCCATGGGTTTTTCTTCTTTCTTCTGAAACAATTGTGAGGGTTTTCTTCCGCATTTTCTATGACCAAGGACAGTGTTCTCTAAACTTGCTAATGGGATCAAATCAACTTAATATAGAGCATGACATTTGATGAGAAAGTTGATTGCTTACACCCAGCTTTGATTGGAGCAAGCTTAGTGGTCATTTAGAATATACTGAGTGCAAATGTAGCTTATACCATTTCATCTTGGCTGCTTCTCAAGTTCAATTTGATACAATGCAGCCCTTGTGCTATTGTCAAGTCTTTGAACTGAACATCTCCTCCTGTATTTATCTACTGTGTAAGCACTTGATTTTTTTAGGATTTTAGCCAAACAGTTTTTAAAAAGTCAAGAAAATTGGCATATTTAACACTGTTCATTTGTTACTGCGTTACGCTTGCATAACAACTTCAATTTTCACCATTTCCTTCACTAAATTACAGTGGTCCTCAGTCATCCCAGTGGTTCTGCTGTTGGCCCCCAAAGAGAATTTAAATCTCCTACCAAAGCCTTTGTGTACATCTGAAATGCCATATTCAGTCAGTAACCCAAAACTGAATGTCTTTTTTTATTTCAGAGTTGTGGATGGTCTTACTTTTCCTCCTCTTCTCCCCTACCCCAAATGAAAAACAGGGGAGCTGAAGGCTAAGGATATTAGATTTAATTTGCTGCGTCCTTGCTTAGCTACCAACAAAATTTCTGGGCAGGGTAGCAAGAGTTGAAAGTGCTTTATTCCACTGCTAATTCTTCTGTTATCTCTTGGTGATGCTTTTGTAAAATATACTAACGCTCCTATCTTTTATGATACAGTAATGCAGGAAGTGGGTAAGGTAAAAGAGAAACTTAAATACAGAAGCAGAAATTTCTGAGATGTTGTATCATGCCATGAAATTAAAAGGGTAAGAAGCATATACAGAAGTCTGTGCTCTTCTATAAGCAGAAACTTTATTCTGAAACACTGCAAGCGCCTCAAGCAGTAGAGATCTAAGCCGCAGAATGTGAAATGTGTGTCTGAATAACTACAGGAGCCAAGTAGTGACTAAAATACTGCTTTGCAATAGTAATCGCTAATGTGCACCTAGTAGCATTAGATCTTTCTGTCATAATTATTGATTACTTTTTAACTACAGGGCAAATAGTCCAGAAGATTTCCTGAAAGTAATGTTAAGCATGAAAATTAAGATTTAAATTCGTAGTCCCGTCTGCAAAATTAAGAAATCGGGCTTCGGATTGTCTCCTTAAATGGTCTTTTACCATAATTCATTGTTAGCTGAAATTTGTACATTATGAGGCTAAGTACTGTGTTCTGCACAACTGTGATTGTTATACGTTTTTCTTTTGCAGCTCCAGATAAAAACTTTGCTTCTACTCAAATCCTTGAAAAACAAAGTCAGTTGTTACCGTTCTGAAGGTTTAACTGTGGATGGCTGGTATGCCGTGAATTGTTGGTGCAGGAACTGTAGAAGTGTTCCCCTTGACTGCCCTGCTGGTGGCTTGGTTCAGCTGTTACGGCCGAGTCTGCGCTGCTCAGTTGGAATATATTTGTGCTGTTGATTTTAGGGAAGTCTGTGGGTTCAAATTTGTGTTGAGAAACTCTTGAATCAGTGCTGCACTGCTCAGAATGACAGTTTTAAGTTGATTCCCTATGCCTATGCTATTTTTTTCCTTGAATGCATGTGCAAGTATTAGTAAAAAAAAGCACAACACAAAATAGCTTTACATCTCCCTCCCCCTCTTAAAAATGTCTCGTTTACAGTAACTGAACCAGATGCTGGTTAAGTCCACAGTTACCGTTAGAAATATAATAACTATTAATCTTTTGAATCTCTTGTTCTCTATTTCCCCAATTGTCATTGAATATTTGTCCAAAAAATACTTTGTTGCAGCTGGAAGGCTTCTCTGTGATCTTCCTGTTAGCTGTGTAGTGGATTATGGATGCACAAAATAAGAGGCTGTCAGCAAAGTGAAAAGTAGGGAGGAGAGGGAGGGAATATTGAAATCACTTGGTTTTCATATTATTTTAGCTATTCTTTCTCTGTAGCTTCATCAGCTCAGAGGATGCTCGGACATTTGACCTGTAATTATTTTGTGTTTAGTAGATAGACACGCTGCTTTAAAAATGCATAATTTAGTATGTATATACCTATGCAGCATATATAACACTGTCAGTACTCCTAGGAATGTGATTTGGGGAGAAAAATATTTTTACATGCTTTGTTTTTTCCCATAGTGCTGAGAGTACATGGCTCAGTTGAAACTAAATGAGTGTCATCTGCTGTTGACTGCTATGAATGGTGCTTGGGAAAGTGATCAGTGTAAATACTGGCATTAGCACGAGCGTAGACTGACCATGCCTACCTCTGCCTCAGAGAGCAAGCAGTTAGATTTGGTTATCATCTTAGGTTCTGATTACACGAGGAGGGTATTTTTTCTAAGTTGAGAACAATATTTTGCTGCCTTGTATCTGACAAAGAAGTTTCCATTTACTTTGATGCTTTGTTAGAGTTTTTTAAAAAGAGACATTATTTGGGAACTTTTTTGACTGTTTGGTGGGCTTAAAAACAGTGTTGTGACGAGTAGCATAATAGTTTTCAAGCTCGAACTTTGGCTTTTTGCTGAGATGCATAAGCAATTGGATGAGTGTTTTATTATTTGAGTTGTGGTGTGCTTTCTGTATAACTGGCAAAAGACTCTAACCAGCTTTCCTTCGATCATTTGAGTAAAAGTGTGCTGAACTGATGGGAAATGGTCATTGTTGTGTTAGGAAAAATACTACAATACGAGACGCAATTATTTTGTCACAATTTGCATCTATTGTCAGTAAGGACCAGAAGCTTGTCACACGGTCATCTACAAGTGAAAATAACCAGCACCATTTAGAGTAAATGCAGATGCTGTTTTTGTAGCACCAGTAACACTTTTTTTTTTCCTCTTTAGGTTCTTGATTGTTACAGACCATTTGCTGAAATGTCCAGAGTTGGTAAAAGCCCTCTATGCCAAACTGAGCAATCAAGAAAGGTAACCCCAAAAACCAATGTGGCTTTTAGTATTTAGCATTCCATATAGAGTATCCTGTTCACATGATTGAAAAACTGTGTGGTTTCATAGTTGGCACAAAATCTCTAAATACATGTTTCTATGTCAGTAATGGTTTTAAATTGGTTGGTTAACATTACAGCTTAGCCACAACTGGCAGTGATTTATGTAGGGTTGCAGAATCCAGGTTGGCGCCATTACTTGGTAAAGAAATACTTAAAAAAAAAAAAAAAAAGAAGACAAGATTTCATGCCTGTGACTTGATTTCATAAGAGCACCACACCCTGCAGTGTTTTACAGCTGTATTTGAAATGCCCACAGCTGTTCATACTCCTGTTGTAATTACAAGAAATTAAAAGGAAGCTTTTACTAAAGTTGGAAGTGTGTCTGATTCTGGTTTGCAGAAACTTAAAAAGTAAATATGTGGATGCTCATGATTACTTAATCTTTCAGTATTTTCACTATTGAAGGTACAAAATGCTTCAACAAACCTTCACCTGGAAAGAAACTAGGTAGTTTTCTTTCAGGTGTTTGAGTAAATTTATGTTGAATTGATGGGAAATGGCCATTGTTATAATTGGGAAAATGCTCATTTACAATTGCTTTAATAGAGGATTGTTTATTGAGAATAATCAACTTTAGGAAATCCTGTACTATGATTTTACAACTCCTCCAGCTGCTTGAAGATCTTGTGATCTTGTTTATATATTCAACATGGCTACTTGCTCCCCATTTGGCCCGGAGAAAACTGCAAGTTCTCCCCATAGTTTTTCCAGATGAAAGATGAGACAGAAATCAAAACTGTCCCTTAATCTTTTTTTCCCTTTTTTTTTTTTTTTTTTCTGAGACTGAAGCCACAGTGTTACTACAAAAGGAGGTACAGATGCTTATTAGAGACTATAAAGAAACAAAAGGTATGGCAGGCAAAGAAAGAGTATATGATGGTTTGAGAGCCATAGATTAATGTACCATTGATGTCTAGGTATGGGATAGAAAACAAGGTATGGGAATGACAAGGAGGGAAGTACTGTCTCCCTCCTTTATTCAGGCTGACCAATTGGGAACGAATATGAGCTGTGTGCTTACTGTGCCTGGAGGTAGAGGCTTCTTAACCAGTTAGCAGGAAAGACTGTTTTAAGTGAATGAGCTAGGCTTAATTATTTTGAGGGGCGTCATGAATGGCAGTTGTTTCTATGTTTTCATAATCCCCTTGAGGACAGCCAGGACTGGGCTAGGGTGTTCAATTGTACTTAAAGCAATATTTGCAATCAGTTTCTAGAAAGGTCTTAGCTGGATTTGTTGCACACACAGAGAGCGATCGGCTATCTCAACTGAAAGGCTTTTGGTTTAGTCATCATATGGATGATCACATGTGGGCTGGCTAGTCACAGCATATTTGCTGAATGTATTATCAGTCCCAGGAGTTCTGCAAATCCAGTAAACTCGGTTAAGTTTTTCACAAACGTGATCACTGTACAGTTTATTATGAATTTGATACTGCTTAATTTACTGTCAAACATATGGCAGTAGGTGGTGTAGAAATAGTCCTTTTACATCTGAGCTATAGGAGAAAACTCTGCGGTGGCATCTTCCTGTAAAATGTTAGCACATTTAAGAATGCATTCTTTTGAGATCTATGAGGAGACAAACGTAATTCAGATAAAAACATTTTGACTGTCATTAAGTGGAGAAAAAAGTAACCGTATAAACCAAAGCATAGGGAATTCATTGTTTCAAAACGAGACAAGGAGCCTTCACCGCAAGAGTTGCCGCATTGGGTGTCCAATAAGGCTGACTAAGTCATATAAATGAAGAAAGGACAGATGTGGTATTGAGGTGTCTGGGAAAAGCAGCTTGAGCTCATGAATATATGGTAACTCTCAGTTACAGTATTCTCTATCATGCACATTAAATACATTTACTTTAAATGTATTTACTGAAACAAAATTAACTATGCTGAGAAAGTTTTCGAACGCATACGTTAGTGGTGACTCCTAAAGTTGGCAGTTGCCTTAGACAACCAAAGTATATGCAGTTGCGTAACCGCAGTTATTTGCACTATTTGTAGCATTTGTACTATTCAAAGTATTTCCTGGAATTGAAATCTAGTGCATTGGTGATCCAGTGGCCATGGTGTGTGCCATGAAGCAGTTCTTGTTGTAGAAGTGGATCTGGAATCTGAATTTTCAATTAAAAGAGAATTCCTGACTTCTGGACAACTTTCTCTTTCATTTCCAAACAAATTTGAGCACTTTGACGTTGGCGTGTCTGAGTTTGCAAACGGCCTGAAATAAATACCATGATAATATGATCAGTTTTTATATTGGTATTCTGGCTTTGAAAAGTGTATGATGATGTGACAATGCCTGCTGTTTTTCTGCAACTGATTATTGCAGAAACATATGGCTACAGTATTGAGCCAAAAGATTGTAGATTCTTGAATTCTTTGCCAGACTTGAGATTTCCCTGCATGTGTGTGCAAATATTTGGCAGAAGTGTCTAGTAAAATCTTGCTTTCGTTTAATCAGAGTTAGCCTTGAGCATGGACAAGGTACGTTAATGCCTCGATAGACTTAATTACATTGTAAAATCTTCAAAATGCGTACATCTGTGTTGTCCCTCTTAAGAAGATGTCTTGCTTTACTTAGGAGCAACAAAAATACAACTGAATAGCAATGGAATACCTTCAGGTGTTTTTAAAATGCTCAACTACTTGCATCTTTAGTTCTGATTTTTGTGTTATTTCGTGTGAAGTGTTCTCAGTGAATGCTGTAGCCATTAATCAAATTACCAGCTGTGAAACGGGCACTGAAGTAGTCTAAGTGGCACTGCTTCTTGCTTCCTCTCAGCTGCCGGGCTGCTAACATCAGTGTTTCGGTGGGTTTTAGTTCTTGGTAATGCTCACAGACACAGAATAGCCGAAGGTAGCATTAGATTATAGTCCCTCACAAATTTACCAATTTTAATTTAATAGGATGCTTACAAGTATTGATCAAAGATGAAAGAATTGAAAGTTTCAAGGAAGGACCTGATTTGTCTCATAGAACCTGTGCTGTCAGTGAAGTGTTTCAGGAAAGAGAAGTCCCAGTTGCAGAGGAGGAGTGTCCCAAGTGTCTGGTACTTGCTAAGAGGTTGGAAACCAAGCACACTTGATGCAAAAATTGTTTGGTGATAATAAAATTGATAGGATTTTACAATACTATTTTTAGACAGGCGTAGTAGGACTTTGCTTTAATTTGCAGTAATGAGCTTCCAGATTTAAATTGCATTTCAATGCAGTGGTTTATTTGCAGGCTATAGGAATCAGCAAATACTTTAAAGTAGTTGTTCTTGAGTTCTTGCTGACTTGGTCAGCTTCAGGAAGAACTGGTTTAAATTTGGCTAGAGGAAAAAAATAGCAAGAGATTAACAAAAAAATCTTCCTAAGTAGTGCCTAAAGAAAAGAAAGATGACACTTAGGGCATGATCACTTCCAAACAGAAATATAATCAGAAATATAATATACCAAATAATATTTTAGGTATTGAACTGAATGTTAACAAAAATTCGTGATGAGACATGCTAAAACTGATACTAACAGTTGTCATATCTGTTGTATTTAGCTATAGAAAAACAAGTAGGAACAAACTCTGTCATCTGAATGGCTAAACAGTTGTGAGATCATTTAAAAGAAATGAGCAAATTGCATTGTGTGGGAGAACTAACTTGGAAAAATTTGGGTGAGTCTTGGAAGAAAACAGAGAAACAATAGAAGAAAGGAATGTAAGGGAACTTGAACCAGAACAAAAAGCGTTGCTCTCAGGAAATTGTTGGCTGAATGGCAAGACTTGCTTGAAGTTCTGGGGAAAGATGGGCATGTCCTGAATGATTGTGTCTGGAAGAAAACTCAGGGAAACAGTTTTGACATGAATGACCAAGAGAACAGAAAACTTTAAAAGAAGTTACACACAGGTGGTGTTTTAATGTCACTCCCATTTCTCTGGAAGGCTTACGATTGTCTAAAAGAGCATCTGATTATATTGCAAGAGGAAGAGTAATGCAAAAAATTTCCCTATTTGCAACAATTCCATCTCACTAAAATCAGTTTATGGAAGTATGTGGTGACCCTCCAACTTCTTTACAGAAGGATTGCTTGTCATTTTGAAACGCGTATTATATGCATTATTGGTGCAGCAATAGCTGACTAGAATTCTGTTACACAGGAGATAATATTTTATTGGAATAAGTCCTGTAATCACTCATTCCTGTGAGCAGCCTGTTTTCTTGGCTGAGCATACACTTAAAAGGCTCTAAACTTGGTAAAAACTGGCATGTAAAATCTAGCCCTGTCTTGGGATGAATGACACGTCTATGCACTTAACTTGATTTTTGTCTAGTATGCCCAATCTGGAAGCCTTCCTTCAGTGAGGGATGTTGGGTAACCGGACTCTGGTAGTTTGTAGATGGGCAAGCGTGTGGTACCCCGTTGTAACCCGCAGAACAAACAGAACGACTGTTCTGTGTTGGAGCGCCATCGTACACGTAAGCAAAGCCTGGGAGAGAGATTTCCTGTGTTTGACAGCCTTCTGTCTGGAGTCCACCCTTTCCCAAACGTGTTGAGTGCATTTCTGTGCTACCGTGTTGAAAAGCTTTTTGTCCTCATTCAGATAATTGTTTAATGCAGCTGTATTAATGACGTTGAAGGTTGAGTTTAGCAAGAAGTGAGTAGCTGTTCCGTGATTAATAGGGATGGGTTCTTGGAGGTTAATAAAGCAGTGACCGTGCTTTTTCGACAGAAAAAGACTTTTTCTCTTCCCCTTGTGAACAACCTGCTTGGTAAACTCAAAAAAAAGAAAAAGCATTTGAACTATTCCACATGTTTAAATGTCAGTCCTTCCATCTGAATTGCAAATACTTTAGTGAAAGAAAACCCTGAGCCTGCTGAGCCTGCTCTTGAATTCATTCAATAAATAGCGCGCTTTCAGGTTGAGAGAATTACAGTGGGACTTGACTAACCCACGTGTTCCTCTGCGCTGGAGTTGAACAGGGAAGCTGTAGAAGGGCCTCTGCCACGTTAAAAGTCCTGCTTCCACAAAATATTCGCAGTCTACCTTAACAACATGAAGGAATATCAGAAATAAAACTACATGGAAGCTGTCAAAATAAGTGACCCAAGTATATTTAATAGAGCAGCTTCGTTATGTATCCCCTTACTTGCTAGTCTAATATAATGAATAACTCTTACTGGGTATACAAGTAATTAACTTGGATTTACTGTAGTCCATCTAATGGCAGTTCTAAAACAGCTGTAAAGAACTGCGTGTACGTATCAATTTTCATTTCCCTCATTCCTTCTCAGAATTGGTTTGGAGTTGGGGAGAAGAATTAGTGAAGGACAGCGTGCAAGGCAAGGGCTGTGAAAAGCTGCTGTTTTCAAATGGACCCTGTCAAATAGTTTGTGTTTATTTTGCTGAACTGAACAACAGCTTTTAAGAGTTATTTTGGTAGAAATTTTAGACATATGGAATATGCACTTACAGTAGCGTTATGTTAGGACATTAGAAATTAGATATTGAGATAGACTTGAGAAAATATTGACTTGACTGTCTAGCCAGATTGTATTAATTGAACGATGAATTAAATTAATGGTGTGCAGAAATAAACCAGCAAACAGAAAGTGATTGCCAGTGTTCGTAAAACTACTTAATTTTTATAAATCAGCTCTGTTACTAACATGCTGATAGTTTGTATCATTTTTGACAACTGTGTCTGCTTATTCTACTGATAATTCTATATGACTTAGTGAATTTATTAACAAGTTATTTTCTGATTCTAGAGTTACTTTGTTAGAGCTGATAATGGCAAAAGTAAGTGAGAAGAACCCAGTTACCAGTGAAGAAATGAATGTGTTCATGAGACATGCTGACTTCCTTGCAGGCTGTTTCCAAGAGAAATGTGAAGCTGTGCTCAAGTTAACTTCTGCAGTGGATGCAGAAGATGAGGTATGACGGATAAAAAGCATTATAGTGCTAGAATCTGAAGTGGTGAATCTTCATTGCCACTGTTTTACAAGTGGCGCTTGTGTGCATTTCCAGTTTACTTTATGTTGAGAAAGCAGTGACAGAGTTCACAGGAGAATCTGTAAGCCAGCAGCCCAATTTTGCTTTTAATTTGAAGATGACAAAGAATATGGTGCTTCAAGATAGAAATAAATCTGCCACATTGTTAAAGATCTCAAAATTTTAAATATGTTCAAGTTTCACATGTTTGCATGTTTTATTATGTTCTTACTAAATATCACGTCTATAATTTATATGTGTTTTGGATTATATTTTATTCAACTGTGAAGCAAAACTTTATTTTTAAGTGAGAAGCAGCATCTCTTCCCTCTCCCCTTTAAAATTGGGATGAAAAATGGAGTAAGTACTTTTTTTCCTAGCAGTACTAAAGTAAGTAAATTTTGGTGTTTTTTAAAAAAACTTGAGTAGCCGATGATGACTCGTGAATTAACACATCATTAAGGTCAAAAATATCAGTTCTTTGAAAATACATTTGGCTACTTGTAAGGCAGGTGGTACCTGGAACTTCCAGTTTGATCATGGAGAGCTGTGGTGTGTGTGATCAGCTCAGCACAGGGGAGCTGTCTAAACTGTATAATGATCCTCCCGGCTTGCGAGGGCTTTTGTTACTGACTCTTCCCCATTTCCCAATGATTTGGGGCTCTCTGGTGGACCTTGTGTGACTCTGACAAGGTGACACTCCTGGGGCCAGCTAGTGTCCACAGCATCAAGTTGCAGAGCTTTCAGGTCTCTTAGTGGCAGACAGCTTGTGTCTCCTGAGCACCCAGACACTTGCCCCAACTCCAGTCCACTTGGAAGAAATCTGTTATTGCTTCAGACTTAATGAACTGGTTCTGTTGAGGATGGCCACAATGAAGTCCCTTTGCAAGCTAAATAGGAAGGCTTTTATGGGTCACACATGGTTTGTGGGTTGCACTTTGGGAGCCTCTGATGGAGAGCTGAGTCCTGGATGGCCTTATTTTATTTCCTCCTTATGAAGTGTCCAAGAGTTGCTGGCTACTTGCCACACCATCTAGTGCAGTAAGGAGGTTTAGGCCATCTAAGGGTAGAGGTCTTTTCAAATAATCTCGTGTTCTATTTTTCCTCTTGCTTTCAAGAAGCTGCTTGAAGATCTAACAACGCCTGTGGGAATACAGAAAGCAACTTGCACCGTAACTTGCAGTGACCTTATTTCTGCTGTGTTAGGTCATCGTATTGTGAGCAGGCAGTGCCAGGTCATACTGGTCTCAGTTCATGATCCCTCTCGTGTAGATAAAGTTTTAATGTTTTCCACTGTTTTAGGGGTGAGTTCTTTTTTTAAGACAACCAGCCAGAAAACTAAAAGCCTGAGAAATCCAATATGTTTTACTCAAACATAGAATTATTAATCACTAGTTCTCACTGATTAATCATGCTTAGTTTCAGAAGTGTAATTAATGTATTTTCATAATATCTTAAAAGGATTCTTAAAAAAAAAAAAAGGTCATATCTAGCTTCTCTCTTGCTAAGTGACCATAGTGGTATGTTGAAACTGCATTACCCAGTATAAGAGTAGTTGGAAGCATTTAGTTGTTAAAACAGAATTGCCTGTAATAGTTTCATTTGTAGAAACAAGAGTTTGGCTGTCATAACTAATTTACTATCAAAGAGAAAAAATATTGATCTTTAAATGCTTTTATATTATAATGTTACACAGTATTTTACTTACTGATTTTTTGTTTGTTTACATGGACACAAGAATTTCGAATGTATGTCGAGAGGTGTTATGAAAAGATATCAAAACTCACTTTATGAGGAGATGATAGTTGGATGCATTTAAAAAAACCAAACAGCCACACAGCAATCTCTTCTTATCTGTCCAAGAAGCACAGCTTCCCTCCCTCCTCCCAACTGCTTAGTCTAAGTTATGTTAGAAAACTTAATTGACTACTTCTGGAAAAGGTATCAGCTTGGCAGGAGGAGGACATATACTGAGACAATTCCATCTCCCCCAGCCCCCACCTTTTCTCTGTTACTCCCCCCCCACCTCTCCTTCTTTGTGTTTTTAATCCTGCGTGGTTACGTTCCAGTATTCTGTGGTTTCAGTTCTTGGAAGAAAACATTTGTTTGCGCCTAGCAGGAGGAGGTCTCTGTCCAACTTGGAAGGTGCTGGGACAGCAGTATTGAGAATATTACTGTATAACTTACCCTGCTTGACACTGACTTTTTATCCTTCTCTCATGTAAACATGTCATATGATAAGTTGAATATCACTATTTGGTGGGAAAAATGGATCATTTAATGAGCACAAAATAGAAGTCATAATAGCTGAATAAATGGAGAGCAATGACAACAGTTTTCTAAAAGTGTGTGTATATGCATGTTGTGTATATACATTTATTGTAACATATGCTTGCAATAGGAAAAGAGAAATTCCAGCTTAAACTCATAGAGCTGTTTCTTTTCTTACTAGAAATGATCAAAAATTGCACTAATTTCTCCTCAATTATATAAATATTTTAGTTCTTGCATAAGAGTTGTACTTAACTGAAAAAAGTGCAATTGTGCATGTAGAGTCTGTCATTAAAAATGCTTTAGGCAACATCTGTGATATTAAACTAAACTCTGCCCGGACTTTTTTATGTCCCTGAAGCCAAGTGCCTTGGTCAGGCTACGTCTGTACTAGTAAGCTGTCTTAGCCTCCAAAACCAGGAGGCCTCATTTGAAAACTGCCTTTTGGGAAGAGTCCTTGAACTGGCCTGACTCCCAAAATGTTGTCTGGGTGTCCCATCCACTGTTTAATTTATTATATGTAGACACTGCCTTTTTTCCCCAAGGAACCTCAGGTCTTGTAGCTTCCATCTCAAACCAATGAAAAGCTAATCATATGCTTCTGCACTGCTTAAACCAATGTTTAAAATAGCTTTTCCATTATAAGCCTGACTTCAACATCAGTTTGCTTTCACTGACTTTCAACCATACTTGCAAAATAAAACCCTTCCCTGAATTTGAAGTTCTTATTTAATCTCTTGATGAGGAACATCTTTTCTGAGTGTCTCTCAAAATAGGTTCATTTAAAACCGCTTCAATTATTTCCTTATTTACTTTCCACTTTCCAGATCGTATCCATGTCAAGATGACTGTCGGATTTCAAAATATTTATATATATCTTACTGCTGAACTTACAAAGGAAATATTCTGCTTTTTTGCCTTTCTTTTGTACAGGTGGAGGCTGAAGGGAGAAAAGATGGAAAGTTGAACAGAGATGTTTAAACAGTTTTTTGAAAGTATCAAATTTCAAATGTAGATAAGAATTTGGAGGTTCTTTTGTACTTTTAAAATAATCTGGTTTTGTAGGTTCTTTTGTGCTTCTAAAATAATCTGTTCCTCTTCTCAAATCTCAGTGAAACAGTTGCTGAACTGAGCTAGATGGCGGAATAAAAGAAAGGGAGAGATGGCAGTATGAAATCCTGGGAAGAAGTATGTAGAGGACAGTGAAGAAAGACATTGAAAAACAAAAAAGGGTTGTGTGTGTGAAAAAGGATAAGACTGAGAAAGGAGAAGCCACACCTCATAGTATCAGCTGCTACAGAGCTTGCGTTATGTACTTGGGCAATGGTGAACATAAAGGCAGCAAGGGCTGGTGTACCTTACTGGTGTGACTTGTAGTTGCCTATTGATGCTGGTTTGCTTTACAGTTGTAAAGCCTGTAACCTTTTCTTGTGCAAAAGTGCCAAGTGTATGAGCTCAAGAGGCGTTTGGTTAAGCTACCGTCTTGTAACAATGCAAAATGGCTTAAAAATTGTAAATACCTGCTTACTGTCTCTGAAATACAGTTGAGGTGTTCTTACTTTATAACAGGACAATGAGCAGCGTTTTCAGAGGCTGGTTTTGTGCTGTTGAAAGCAATTTATTGAATAGCTTAGGGCAAGACCTATACCTTCCTACACCTCTGCAAGTGAAAAATGAAAGTACAGCTTTAGCACCTGTACCCTATACCAATTTGCTGTCTTCAAGGAGCAAAGAATGGATATAATCGCGGTAATTAATTACTGAACACTATCGTTGATGATTTCAGTTACGTTATATTGATTATATGGATTCAAAAATATACTGTTGGTGAGTAAACATCTCTCTGTTCTGGAGCAGACAAGGCAGGAATAGTTACTGTGACCTATGTCTGAGCCTTTTCAAGGCTACTTGCAGTTTATGTACCGCACCTTGTGTGGAGTCATCTTGTAGTCACAGTCTGGTTCTTGAGCAATATGTGGTGTTCCAAATTATGCCGTACACTCTTAAGGTAGTTTCCGTAAGTGCTGGATTGTCATTATAGGCACACATCAACATAGTCTGTGAGAAAAAATAGTTCTCTGGCTGAATAAATAATATGCAAATGAAATTGTGCGTCTTGTACCTAACCAAAATGCTGCATCTATGATCCCAATCCTATTTACCCAAGAATAATGTAAATTCTCGCAGCCAAAGTTCATTTGACCACAGAACTTTACAGAATTCCTGCGGATAACAAATTGGTGTCTTGCAGGCGGTGTTTGTGTCTTTAAAGTGGGACGCTCCTACTGAATAAACTCAAGGAAAACATTTATACAGAAATAATTTTCTCAGCTAGTAATTTTCTGCATTTCTGCTTTTGGAAGCTACTGTGTTTTTGTTAAAATTTTATCCCTTATGACTCTGTTTTGGTTTCCCCGTGATTTTTCAGGTCACATATAACACTGATTGTAGAAAAGAAATTATTACAGTGTAATACATTATTGTTATTGTAGAAAGATGTCCTCATTTTATATAAATTTATTCTTGGCAGTTTATAAGACCTGTAAAGAACCTGAGGTGCTGAGAGGTCCTGTTCTCTGTTTTGATCTTCAGTTTTATGTTCTTATGATATCCTTCATGAACCATTTTCAGGAATGTAATTTTCATTTACAGGAAGCACTGGTTACAATTCGTCTTCTTGATGTTCTTTGTGAAATGACATCAAACAACGGACAGCTAGAACATCTACAGGCTTTGCCTGGTTTGCTGGAAACAGCCATAGGTGAGTGAAAACCCACAAGTTTATTAACTGTTGGTTTACTCCAAATCATGTTGCTCTGTGAATGAAAACAAGTTTTTCACAACTGGTGGTAATTATGATTCTGACCTTTTAATAAAATAAATAAACAGGAGATTGAGTTAATCTACATTTTCAAATATTTGTTCCTGGAATTTTTCTGCTTCTCTACTTGCTCTGTTGACTCCTATTACCCAACAGAGCCTTGATTCAACTGTCAGCAATGTGTTATTTATACAGTAAGAGTTGTGCAAAGGACAGCTGCTTCCTATGTTCTTCCACTGGTGGAATGTGTGTGGAAGAATTTCCTCAAGAAGTAGAAAAAGGACTTTTCCATACCTGTTCCCTTCTGTTTCCCAAATTCCTGAAAACTGAAACTAAGTACAGTTTTAATGTTCTTAACCAAATTCAGTGGCTTTTAAAGGTCAGTTTAAAAAAGCTTTCTTCTGCTAAGAAGCAACAAGCGAAGGGATGCACATAAAGAAAAATAAGCCAAGATGGTCCAGAGAGACCCTATATACTTGGGAAGAAAGGAGGAGGAAGTATACATATACTGACCTGTGCCTTCCTAAATCTTAGCACTTTCTGAGACTGATGTATGCCACCATTTTCTGATAAAATTGTAAAAGTTTATGTATTTTAAAGAGAAATGCATAATATTTTGGCCAAAAAAAAAACAAACGTTGAAACAGCTGTTAACTATGACTATACATAATATTTTGGCCAAAAAAAACCAAACGTTGAAACAGCTGTTAACTATGACTATTTTGAGATGTTTGGAGGGTCCTTGCTGTAAAAAAAAAAAAAAAATAATCCAACAACCCAAAACGCAACCAAACCTCTATTTTTGATGACAGTTTCATAGTTTTATTGCTTACAGTAAGATGACTAACAACAAAATCTATTTTGTGCATGTGTACATTTTGAGAAAACTCGAAGTTACGCATTGCATCATCCAAATGCTTGTATAACTCTTTCAACTTAAACGAGAAGTTCAAGGAGCTGCAGATCAGTTAAGTTTAGCAGCCTATAGGCCAGTCCTCTTTTCTCTACCTGCGTGCAGACTGACTTCTCTCCCCAGCTGTCTCCAGGCTCATGAAACATGGATGCAGACTAGAACATTGATTGCTACCATGTGCATCCTACGTGTTTCCCACATGCCCTCAGCCAACAGGGTAGCCTTCGCTGCTCCTTGTAGCCTTTTGGCTACAAGACACCTTTTAATCCTGGATTAGCAAAATGGGTAAAAAACTGTATTGATGTGTTCTGTGGCCTTCAGTACTTAGTTCTGAAGACCAGAAGAATAAAGATAAATAGTGCAAAAGATGTTCTTTTAATAGATCTTGTGATGAAACAGTACTTCAGTTTATATCATGAGAAATTTCCCATTGGAAATTACTAAAAGATTGATTGAAAGATCTGAAAAATGCTTGAACGATCTTTTAAGAATCAGCTAAGGAGTGTGTTTTGCTATTTTCAGTAATTGTTGGGTTAAGTTAGTAATACTGTAGTGTTAATAATATCTTTAGCACTGTTAACAGCTTGATTGCACAGTGTTTGGGGAATATCACCAAGGAGGTAAACAGCCTTTTGGATTGAGGGGCATTTTGGAAGAGTTGCTTTTTGGGATAATGAGAGAACAGCAGAATAAGGTGTTCTGTAGTTGAAAGCATGAGTGACATCCTGGGAGCAGTTGCTGTGCTGTGTTCATGTGCAGTGTTTGAGAGGAGCACTGTTCTCTCTGGGTTGGCATCGTGCATGGAAGGTGGCTGCTTTTCTTCCACCTTTTCCTGTTCCTCCCTTTACAGATAGGTACATTGCTCATTGCGTTTTTGTCTGTACTGTAATAAAATTTGGATACTTTACTTTTTTGATTGATCTTTTGCTTTGTTTTATTTTTTGGTTTTAATCCTTTTGTTCAGGGTCCCCTCTTAAGGGCAGGCAAGAGGTTTGGGAAGACCATGGAATTCCCTCTTATGTGTTTGTGTGTGGGAAAACACTAGGACTATAAGGCAAGGAAGCACACAAAGTGAATAATGTGAGAAGAGTGTAAGACACTGCTCCCTGCTGATTTTTATGAATTTACAAAAGCAAACAAATTTCTATAAAAGATTATGCTAAAAGCTGTTTTATGATGACACTTGAATGATTGATGACAAAAGATTGATTGGCTTTTCCTAGTTCAAAATATGAACAAATGTAAGTGGTGGCTCTGATACGGGAGGCCTCTAGGCCCTATTATAGTTTCATATTTTAAAAAAAACTACCAAAAATTTATTTTTTACTTTATCGGCATAGTTTTTTGGGTTTTTTTCTTCTGTGTCAGCCATCTAGAGTGAAACTATAAAACAACGACTTATGAAGTTTCTTCTAATTTAAATCCAGGAAATCTAGTGCCCATTCCACTATATGTTTGTCATATCTGGAGCAGAAGGAGCATAGGGCTTAATGGCTGTCCTGTGCTATAACCTGGTTTTGTTATGTCGATATTGTTCCAGTGTAAGTTGTATGAAGCATCTTGGAGACAGTGGCGTGCCAGGCCATTTATTAGTATTACAGGTTGCTTAGAGGAGAAATACATCTTGGTTTTCAGAGGCAGAGCCTTTAGTTAATTGGCCTCTCAAATCTATGGGCTCTCAGGTGTTCACATGATTCCAGCTTTTCTTCTGGGTGTGGCCTCTTTGTGGAATGTTGTTTTCACAGATTTTAGTTTCTCTTCTCTCTGATTTCCCTCTGGAGCATTGTAGAAAAAATCCTAGTTTTTTTGTAAACTAGCATTTAACATACAGGAGCATTAGTATTTCTCAGTTGACAAGAGTATGGCACTGCAGGATTTGTAAAGATGTGTCAAAGTGCTAGATAGACTCAAAATCTTTTCTCGTACTACAGAGCTAAGAACAGACTGGAGAAGAGAGAAAAAAAATATCTAATTAGTACGTGTTGCTGTGACAGGTTTGAACTAAAAGAAGTCTTCTAAAATACTTTGGTTTAGAAGTATATTTATGGTGCCAGAATCATCTACAGCATTACAAATTCTGGCTCTTCAAATAGAGATCGATAGCACCAGCCTTCAGACTTCATGTCTGAACTATATATGTGTGTAAAAAGGATGCAAAAATACCTTCTGACCTTGGGGTGGACTTTTATGGTTATACTAGCACAAATTAAGAGATTAAGAAAACTTTCAAAGTTCTTTTGATTTATGGCTGAGTATCTATGCATACTGATACTAATTTTCATGTGGTAATTAATTAAAATATTCTTGTTTTCTGTAGATACCCTGCGATTAACTCATCTTGCTGGGAAACAAGCTGTAAATATTTTCACTGCCACACATGCTATGACGGGGCAGGAAGAAATTTCACATCCAGCTGTGGGTTTTAAATCTCATCTCATTCGTTTGATTGGAAATCTGTGTTACAAAAATAAAGAAAACCAAGACAAGGTAAGTTTATACACTTTTCTGGCAGAACTCTGACATGTGAACAGATGTGTATGCCTGACCATGACTTTAGTGATGAAAATATGTTGTTGATCTACAAATAGAGATTAGAATTGGTCATTTAAAGGAGGTAACATTTTTTTTTTTAGTGTCTTTAAGTTACTGTAACAGGTATGCTAACTTTTTAACAACAACGTGATGTGTGCCTGTCTACCTTTTACTAAAGAATGCAAGCCAGTGCCTGATTCCTTTGTTGTTTTCGCATTTGCACTTTCTTCGAAAAGAAAATGTCTAATACCGAACCTCAATTTCACTTTGAAGGGAAATGGATGGGAATTGCTGCACGAACTTAATTTTAAATCCTTGAGTTAGTCTCTAATGCTTTTTCCCTCCCCTCCTTGAATTTTTTCATTCCAGTTTAAAAAATGTAGGTCTGCTTCCATCAAATCACTTTGAACCCTTTATCTTTACATTTCCTGTATGGAAAATTAGTTTTGTTTCCACAATGAGGAAAAAGAGGAAACAGCAGCATGTTTTTTTATATGAAACCTTTTTTCCTTAGAGTAATAAAAGATATGGCTTTCCTTGAGGACTTTACTAGCCGAATTTCAGCAAGAAAAGAAGTCATGAAATAATGTTGTCTTACAGTTCATCTGAGCACGTCTCGTTTGGCCTAAGCAGCCACATAGTGTATTACAGTAGCCTCAGCTTAGTGAAATCGTAATGTTTCTCTTGTTCTTCCTTGCAAGTGTCTTGTAGAGAAACCCTCTGTTGATTCCTGTGTCTTTCTTTTCTCTTAGAAGTGTCATTCCTTATGGCAGCCTTGTTCCGGAAGGAAGTAGTCTTGAGTAGCCTTCGTTACTGATATTTGTTATTGAACAGGGAGATTTGGGTTTGTTTTCCTTTCTTTACTTCATTGATGTGAATCAAAGTTTTCACCTGCTCTCAGGAAAGAAATGTGTAGGCTGGAAAATGAAAAGCTATCATAGAAGACAGGCTGTATTGAAGAAGGAGTAAATGAAATATTGGATATTTTCACTTCTCTCTCATTATGTCAAATGAGGCCCATGTCGGCAAGTACCAAAAATACAGCAATTAATACTGGTTGTGCTGCAGAAAGTTACCTATGATGACATACTCTGAGTCTAATTCTGTGTTGCCAAGGAGCTATTGGGACATCGAGTACTGCAAAATCGATCTGTTAGAAGCTTCTGTTTTCTGAATACTTTTTTGTGGTTGATCGTTTTGTTTTACAAAGATAGTGGATTCTTTTGTACTGATGCCATCACATTTGGTTTCAACTGCTGCAGTGTCTACCAAGTTAGACTTTTATAATGGCAGCAGGGAATTTTCATAGTGTATGAGGAGAGCACCCCTATTCCCTTGTCGTGTGTGTTTTTTTTTTTTCCCTGCAGGGTAGAGATGGAAAATCTGAGGAATGCTACCCTCTTTGTCTGACAAATGCTAATAATACGGGCATATACATGGGAAATATGGTAATGATCCTCCCTTTCCCCATTCATATTACAGTATATAATAAAATATTTTAATATTTCTGAAAAATATTATTAATCCTATTAATCACTCTTGCACAGTTCTGGCTGTGACCTATTATGATGTAATATGTGTTTATGTAAGTGGAATACATTTTTGTGGAATACCTTACGATAGTGGAGGGGAGGGGATTGCTTCCATTTTGAAAGGGTTGATTTTGCTGCTTATTGTTCATTTTCACTGGGATTTCCAAAGGCCCCTGAAGCAATTAGGCATGCAGGCTTAGTGTTTTCAATGGAAGTTGGGTATTAACTTGCCTTAAACTGCTTGCAAATATTATTGCTTTATGCTGTCTTGAAAATGAAAATTACTTAGATTCTGTGTGTGATACCTTGGAACGTTAATCAAGTGCCGTTGAAACTTTAGAAATGCCAATAGTATGATTTCCTGTCTGTATCTTCAGTTTATTTCGTAGATTTAAATTGGTTCTAATAAATGCACTTGTCATTTTTAAGGCAGTCTCCATACATAAACATATCCTTGTGAGGACAGGGCAAGCAGCCCGTATCATTGCACAGATAAGAAAACTGAAGTTTCGAGATGAGAGTGAATTGTTCGAAGTGGTGCAGTGGTCAGACCTAGAACTGAATGAAGATGAGGTTAGTTCCTGGGTTCCCACGTCTCTCTTCAGTGTAGTATCTTACAATATAGGTCTTCTTTTATATATCCGTTATGGGGTTTACACAGAGTTTACGTTCTATATTCAGTCAAAAGTAATGTAGTAGAGGGTAGATTGAATTGTTATGTAACAAGCCAACTGACCAACGTGTCTGAGAGACCTGGAGCTTTACCACTGGCTGTTGCTTTGGTGTGAGTTACCGTCTGAATGGTAGGCACAAGCTGGGGAAGTGGCTTTCTCTTCAGTCAGTTTAGCTGGTTGCCTGGCACGAGAGGGTTGCACATCACTTACCAAGGGCTGTTGAGCAGCACTGTTAGTATTCTGACTCTTTAATGAACTGAGGCTTTCACACTTGTTTTCTCTTATGTTTTTCTGTAATTTCCAGTCTCAGTAGAGCTCTTTTCCCAGTAACAATCATAATGCATAAGTAAATAGAGTAATAGCACACTACTAATAATAAATAATAAAAAATATAGCCCCTATTTTTATAGTATCACCTTAGTGCTTGATGTTGGTCTGCCTGACTTGTTCAGAAAACATAAGTAGTTCCCAAAGACTTGGGATTCGAACGGTGATTTGGGCTAAGCCCTCCAAGTGGACAGAGTTGCATCACTGTCTTCAGGACCTTCTTCAAGAGTTGAATGACAACCTGCTTGTTCTCTGGGAGGTGAGTCTTAAGCTAGCCTATGCCTCATGCAGTGTGTGTCTCCTGAAGTATAATGGTGCAGTCCTACTGCATAGGGCGCTAGTGACAGAGTTAAAGCTGCAGAGAATGCCTGGAGTGGGAGGATAATTGCTCTCTGCAAAGGTTGCTTCTCCATCTTTGTTTATGGTCTCCACCTGCTATGAAAATAATTGCAGCGGATTAGTGCACTGGTTTGTTGGCACTGGTGAAAAATCTTGTAATGCTTTGGAACAGGGAAATATCTTACTAGTGCTTTATTGCTTCTTCACTTTACGTTTAAAACCGTTCTTTGTTTTTAAAAAGCATTCTTTAGCTTGTACTCTGTTAGCATTAGGAATGCATTCTTTACGTCTGTTCTTCCTCATAGTTCTGTTTACACTATTGTGATAAGTTCTTAGGCCATAAGGAAGTGGGTGACGTTTAAGCCGTAAACCAAGATGCAGTCATTAAAGTGGGACTTGCCAGGCTTGCTGCCGCTTGCATGTTTTGTGAGGCTGGATGGGTTGGTATTTGTAAGAAGATTGTTTGCCAAAATGTTCATTTTGGACTGGTAAATGTTGAATACGTGCTTGTCCTGAGTTGCACACACTCTTGCATGAAGAGGAGAGAAGAACAAATGAAAGTGCTGTACCTAGGACGCCAAGTGTTGAGCTAGTTCCGTGTTGAACCTGCCGAGATCTTGCAATGCGTGTGCAGTTCTCCTGTGCTTTACCTTTTTGTAAGAAGAAGAGCTGTCAAGAGTTAATTGTCATACATGTGAGGCAGTCCTGTGGCTTGTATTTTGACTCTTGGGCCTCTTTCACAAAGATGTGTTGTGTGTTTTTATTAAATGTACTGGAAGGAAGGAGGTGGGTTCTCAGGCTGAGCAAGGAGTGAAAGTTTTGGCTGGTAGTTGATGAATGAACTTATCAGAAGGAAAAAGTGAAAATTCCTCTATACTCTCCTCACCTTGTTTGTCTTGCCGTCTAAACAGCTCAGTTTTATCATCTGGACAGAATTTATACTGTGTTCTAGCTGGGAGGTTTTAGGCACTTATTTTCCGCTCTCACTTGTAAAACTATGAAGTGATGGATTCAGCTCAGTTCTTTCTACTGGTTTAGTGTAGTAGAACTGTTCTAATAAAGAATAAACATTATGAAAGAAACCTAATGAATTGCCTACAGACGATTGAATCCTTTATTGTAGAAATGAAACAAATACAAAACAGGTCACAGCAATTCATCTGCACCCCTATTTCTTTGTTCATTTACAAGAATACTTGCTGGAAGGTGAGATGTCTGATCTCTGCCTTATTGTGACAGATGATGGTGCTCTGCACAACCTTATCACCTTTCCCTAAAACTGTTTGTTGTGAGGGGTTTATGCAGTGTGACTTGTTTAAAATACTTAAATTCATTTAATTGCAAGTGTCATCAGTACTTCAATAAGCAATGGAATAATGTAGACCTTATTCTGCATTGTTTCGCTTCTTCTCTTGTATTACATAGACTTCAATCACATAACCTCACTGGACTTAGTAAATAGGGAATCGAAAGGAAGTAGAAAGCTTGACAAAGTTTAATTGCAGTCTTTATTCAGTATTCACTTTAGATCACTATTACCTCTGAGATCAAATGTGGCAATCTGAATTGCCTGGAGGTTCTGTCTTGTGAAAACTACTACTGAAGGATGCAGCGTTGTCTGGAACAAGCTACATGTGAGACATGAGCTGCGTTCCTTGCAACAGGGGAGCAGCCAGCTGGCAGAACATGGGCGTGCTGAGATCGTGCTGTGCTGTTGCCTCTTGAGAGGGTTCCTGAGGGAAAAATAATGATGTTTCTGAGTGCAAAGTTAAGCCTGGCTTAGTAAGAACAAGGCACTTAGCTTGGGTTTGGTGCTGTAATTTGGCCACATTGGCTTTGCCGTCTTTGACTCTTGTTATTGATAGGATAGATAGTTTATTGCTATCTGCTTACTTTGTCTAGCAATACAGTTGGTATGCTGGGACAGTTTGACACATGGTGAGAGATCTCTGTCCCCTGCGGAATAGTGAATACGTGCAAGTTTATTTTTGAGATGTCTCTTTCTTAATCAGCTTGTTAGAAGCAAAACCAGTCCCCTCAGGTAAAGAAAACAATCCATACCCTTATGCCAAAGACATTTTAGATACTGAGGATGCTGATGGACCCAATGATAGGTTATTAATCTCAGAATACGTGTGTCTCATGGCAAAGTTGTTCTGTTGTTTATGTAGGGGGAAAAATTTTGAATACAGAGTTGTCTTTGGTACTGGCACCTGGCACCTTCTTACCTAAATGGAATCACTCTAATGAGATGAACAATTTATGAGGGAAGTTTTTTCACATGCCTGGTTTTTATTTGAGGTGGCAGCAGTGCTTCCTCTAATGCAATTATATTGGTTTTTGTCACTGCAGAATTGAGAAAGGAAGTCTTCTGGGAGAAATGGAAGGGGAGGAAAAAAAAGCTTCTACAGTTAAAATTAATAAAAGTAGCAAGTAAAACATCTGGGTACTGTTTATGTGTTTAATGTAACTTAGATTTTTTTTAATATATGTCTAAGCCAAATTGTTTCATATGAGACGAGCTCCCTAATTTGAAGACTGTTCAGCCTTAAAGTATGAACAAGATTTGACTTGTTTGGAATTCAGTTTTCTATTCTTTTTTTCACCGGGGCAGGGTGTGCAGTGAATCCAGTTAGAAAACGGTGCCAACATCCATAGATCAAATTGTCACCATTCAGCTCCTTAACTTAATCTTCTTGCTGTAGTGATTATAAAATAGAATATTTCAAAGTAAAGACAAATACTTTGTTTTATTTAACAATTGGCTTTTTCTCACCGAAGATGTTCAGAAAGACTCTATAAGCATATCTGTTTTTTTTCTTCAAGATTAGTTTAACTTTTTAAAGTAATTATGTTCTTCCTGGCGTGGCAAGATTTGGAGTTACTTGCAATGAAGAACATCCCATCTGCATAGACTGTTGAGAGAGGGAGGAGAGGAATAAACCACTTTGATTTCTTCATAAGAAACCTACATAATTATGATTATTATATTTTCCTATTGTTAAACGTAAGCCTAAAATGGAAGACATTCTTAGTTTAGAGTTGAGCAAAAAAGGAGGAGCCTTTTGGATCTGGATGCTCTGAAGTGGTAAGCTTCTTCACACCTAACTGTAAAATTCTGCATGATTCCACTGTTTGGATGGGGCTATTCTAATGTAGCTATCTGTATGTTTTAATTCTTTGCTAGATAAGGACAAAACATTCAAGGTGTTGCAGGACTGAGTCCTTTTAAGTTTGTCTAGGTATAGCACTGTAAAAGCAGTAAAGCTTAAAATGGACTTTCTCACAGAAGTGCTTTAAAAAAGCCAAAGTTTTGCTGTGGAAGTGAGATCTCTACCTAACTAGCATAGAGATACCCCAAGTAGAATAGTGTCTGTGATTCAAGATTGCCTTTAAAGTATCTGTTGCGGCACATAAGGTAACTGTCTCTAGTCCTGGTCACGTGTGGATTTCATGTTAGTCTTCAGCTTTGTCACAATCATGAATCCTTAACGAAGTGCCGAGATTTTAATCAAAGTGCTAGAGACTGTTAAATAAAAAAGAATCTTGAGATCTCTAAGTAGTGGGACAATATGAGTAATAAAGGGTTGGTGTGGATTTTTTTTCTTGTCCTGAGGTCAGGGTTGCATGCCTAACGCAGTGTAATTTGTAAAGCACTGAATTGTTTTTATAACAATATGATTCGGGGTTTGTTTTAGAGAGTAATACAAAACTTTATTCTGTTTTGCTGCCCCTTTATAGGCAACAAGTTAATGTTCCCTCTTGTCCTGCTCCTGTTCCCCTTTCTTCCCTGCCAATTTTTGGCAATTGATCAGTTGATCCAGTCGTTCCTTGTGACTTGTCCAGTTTGAGCAATTTCATTTGAAGCCTAGATCATACAATGCATAGAAAGTTTTCTCTTGCAAGGAACTGAGATGCATTTAGGTACAGTCAAAGTTTCATGTTAAAGGTAATTTTAGTAGTGCATAAGCTATTTCTTTGTTTAGGTTTTATTTTAAACAGATTCCATTTGATACTTAAATTACATACTACATAGAGACATCTTCACATATTGATTGCCTAGATATCCTGAATCATAGAATGGCATAGGCTGGAAGGGACCTCAGAGATCATCTAATCCAACCTCCCTGTCATGGGCAGGGACGCCTCTCAACTAGACCAGGCTACTCAAGGCTCCGTCCAACCTGGCCTTGAACACCTCCAGGG